GTGTTTAGACAAGATACACAAATTAAGTTATCAAGACAAGTACAACAGAAATTACAGTTAATGAGGCAGTGAATTTGACTGATTCACAATGGAATTCTGGTCCTTGGTTAGCTAGAGTGCTGTCTTCTCTGTTTTCTCTTTCCACTTTCTGCACACTATGGCTGAAATACCAAACTTATTAACCCGTTCCAAATCACAACCACAGTTAACCAATGATAGTCCTGAACTCAGGTCTAAGGCAGTGTGATTAGATTCTGATTGTCTAGGTGAGTATGGTCACCTCCTGATGTCTATTCTTCCAGAAGAGGAAGTATATGTTAGTTCATTACCTGGAGTTTAGCTTAATTATCGTGAATCCTAATTAAATCAGACACTTTCCTTACTGTGTTTGTGAGAGATGTTGATCAGGTCAGCTTCTCTTAAATGAACATCTGTCTGCTGTTTTATTCTGGCTATTTCACTTTTTAGAACTTTGCAATATCAAACCAATACAGAGGATTATAGAGTGGGTAACATCCACAGAAATAACAGGAAAATCTATACGAAGTGTATGGAATGTAAATGTGAAGAAATCTTTGAGGTAAAATATCCTGACACATTCTGTTGGTACAGTCAAGAATGACAGAAGTCCCAAAGAATTGTGGAATAATTACAATATTAATCAGACCCTAACAAGTTAAATGTAACAAGTATATTTCTATATTTGGATTCTGTATTATAACTAAACTAAACAGCTAACTCCTGAATCACAGTTAAATTGAAGTATGATGCAGCCAGAATGAATTAAAAGTCTTCGCAGCCAGCCAAAGAGGATAGGGAGTGCGATTGGGAGTAGGGAATTTAAATGAGGGAGCTGATTCACACACCTCACTTAGTCTTAGCATTCTGCAGAGAACATTGACACAGTTTTAATCCCCTCTCTGAAATCAGATGAAAATCTAAAAATTGTGTCAACCAGCATAGAAAACAAATGGCTGCAAATTAAGTTGTACGTAGTAATTAATGTTCATTTTAATAGCCTCTAGGGCATTTTTTATGCTCTTGGGGAAAGTGGAAGGCTCAGTCCTCTCTCGTTATAAGTGACAGTTAGTGTATCCATCATCTCCCAGATTTTTATTAATTTTTAAAACACTTGACTGTAGCTAAGATGCTTTAAACAGACAGTTGTTTCATTGAATATTCGAGACAGATTTCTCCCCATAAGCTTGGTGCGCATCAATTTCCTTTGAGGCTAATCACATACTTTATAACATGTGTTACTTATTGTATCTTTTGCAAACAAAGTAAAATATTTAATTTTAATCTATGTAGAATGATCCAATCATAATTTGTATAATTATTCTATTCCTGCCATTGTATTTTGTTGAGAAATTCTTCAAAAGCAAATATCACAACATAATAGTCGGGCAGTTGTTGTGACATTAAAGGTTGAAAATTAATGTGACAGGAATTCATTAGTACATGGTTCTACTGAGTGTGTTTGGCTGTTCTATAACTTAGACCCATTGTGATTTGAATGAGCAATAAGTTGGAATGTAGAATAATTTACCTTCTGTGTATGGTTTTCAATGAGCTGGATAGCGACTGAGTGATAAAGACCAGACTAACATTTGGAGTCATAGAAACATAGGAAACAGGAGCATGAGTGGGCCATTCAGCTCTTTCAGCTTGCTCCAACATTCAATATGATCATGGCTGATCATCCAACTCCATACCCTATTCCCACATACGTCCCGTACACTTTGATCCCTTTGGCCCTAAGAACTATATCTAACTCATTCTTGAAAACGTGTAATGTTTTAGCCTCAACCACTTTCTATGGCAGAGAATTCCACAGGCTCAAAAGTCTCTGAGTGAAGAAATTTCTCCTCATCTCAGTCCTAAATGGTTTACTCCGTATCCTTGAGCTTGAACTTTGGTTCTGGACTCCCCAGGCATCAGGAACATATATTCCTGCATTTACCCTTGTCAAGTTAGAATTTTATAGAAACCGAGAACAAAAACAAAGATGTTGGAAAAGCTCAGCAGGTCTGGCAGCATCTGTGAAGGAAAAAACAGAGTTAACGTTTCGGGTCCGGTGACCCTTCCTCAGAACAAAGTTAGGTGGAGGTGTGTGTAGAATTTTATAGATTTCTATGAGATCCCATCACATTCTTCTAAACTCCATTGAATATAGTCCTAACATATCCAAACTGTTTTCTGTCATTCCTGCCATCCCAGGAAACAGTCCAGTAATCCTTTGTTGCACTCCCTCCATAGCCAGAACATCCTTCCTGAAATAAGGAGACCAAAAATGTACACAGTATTCCACGTGTGGTCTCAACAATGCCCTGTATAATTGCAGTAAGACATCCCTGCTCCTGCACTCAAATCCTCTCACTGTAAAAATCAACATACCATTTGCCTTCTTCACTGCCTACTGTACCTACATGCTTACTTCCAGCAACCGGTATACAAGGACACCCAGGTTTTGTTGCATCTCCCTATTGCAATTTGTTTCCATTTAGGTAATAATCTGCCTTCCTGTTTTTGCTACCAAAGTGGATAACCTCACATTTATCCACATTATACTTTATCTGTAATGCATTTGCCCACTCAGTCAACTTGAGAGAATCACATCTCTACATACTCCTCAAAGTTTACCTTCCACCTAGCTTTGTGTCATCTGCAAACTTGGAGATATAACATTTATCTTCCTCCTCTAAGTGAATAATATATGAAGTGAATTTTAAAAAAAGCTGGGGTCTCCAGATTCCCAGAGCATCCTGCTCAATATCCAATTATCTTGGCCGGACATGGAGACGGAAGCAAGTTTTGTTGATGCTGTGCTTGATTAAGAAAGACTGCTGTGGCTCACTGCCTGAAATCTCGAACAAAGAAAGGACTGTGGGTTAGATACAAGGTGTCTCCCAGGAAGAAGAGTTGGACATTCAAGAAATGACTCAAACTTGCTACTCTTGTTTTCAATCATTGGCTATCCTACCAAGGATTCAAGAAATGTGTTAATCTAAAAAATGCTGAGATCTGATCATAGATTTTCTTTCTGCTTTCTGCCTTGTTAAACAGTCAACGGCACCAAAAAAGGCAAATTCCGCATCTCTCGATGTGAATATAAATGCCAGAAGGTCAAAACAATTAGGGTTAACTATAACAGTCCTTTGTGTGTGTATTTTGTCTAGTTACGCGCATTCTAGTTCAAAGCCCTTTGCAGATAATCAGGTCAAAACTTATTAGAGATTTATGGGACAAATAAGCTCATAAGGATAACTTTTTTTAAGCAAAACATTTTTTAGTTGGATTGCATACAAAAACAAAATTGCTTTCATACCATCCACATCTAAGATTGTTTGCCTCCTACCCTTTTCACTTTATCAGTGCACTGATTCTTTTAATTAACTCTTCCCTACTATTTGAGAAATGCCTACTCTTGACCTTCCTCCTACAAGGTACCAAAATCTAAGGGTTTTCTGAAGCACTAATTAATTTGTCTGGTCTTTTCTAACATGAATGTTCCCCACTCCTCCAATTCACATATCTGTCATTCAAAAAGGTTTTAAAATTTCAAAGGAAAAGTTTTCAACTAACCAGAATAGGGGAAAATATACAGATTTGACACTGCTACCAATATATCCCTGTGTGTTCCTCAGTAGCTATGTTCCTGTGGATCAAACCATCCTGTAGGTTAGTTGGAGTGGAAGGAAGAGAATAAAACCAGTCTGTTTTTAAGTGCAGTTTAAGTTGCAAAGAATTTACTTAGTCAACAAAGTGTGGAGCTGAAGGAACACATCAGGTCAGGCAGCATCAGAGGAGCAGGAGAATCGATGTTTCGGGTCAGGGTGAAGGTCCTGATGAAGGGTTCCGAACCCAAGGGGTGCATGCTGGTCACAAGATCAACTGCATGATTGTAATCACAAATTACCTTCCACCATCTATAAATAATAAACTCATTGCTGAGCAATTCTTAGTAAAGCATAGTCACTGCAGTCACTTAGAATACCTTTCATTTAGGGTTTGGCAAAAAAATAAATTCTTGGATTTGCGGTCAAAACACTTGAAAAACAATGGTTTACTTTGAACTATAGGGATATTGATGTAGACAGCTGTAAATATCTTAACTTACTCCAAAAGAAATCCTTTCAATGTCTAATTTCTTTAGTTTCTTTGTTAAGGAGAACTTGTGTGAGTTACGTGTGTGTCAGTGGAAGTCTTTCGGATGCATGGCCCTTTTACAAGTGAGATTTAACCTAAGCACAGCTACTCCCATGTTGCCTTTGTATTGACAGATTAACTTACTAATATTTGTTCTGGTGCATTTATCAAGAAAATATCTCTTCAAAACTTGACATTGAACAGAACCTTTTTGACGGCACGAACCTAGACTTTTATTTATTTTATATTAAGTACTTAAGTTTTCTTCAAAGGCAACTGTAAGTTGAACAACTTTAATAAATAGTGTGGAAATTGTTGAATTCAGACAGTGTTTTATAAACATACAGGGTCACTCAGTTGTTTATAACTTATCCATTGATGATGAGTTTGTTGTATATTTCAGTAGATTTAATTAGTCATTCTGTTTGTGCCTTTGCAAGAAAGCAGCACCTCTCATGTCACCTGTGCTGTCAGGAATGTCTTGTGTATTTGCTCCCCTCTGCTGCTTGTGCTTGTGAGAAATTCTGGTGATTCCTGGACATTAGATACAAGGGATGTAAGCCATGCTGCCCAATCGTTGTCTGCTTTTTAAATGGATACAAAGGTGCTCAACAGAAATAAAAAGCACTGAATGATACCTTTACAGTGTGAGATGAGTAACCACTTAAAAAGAAAAGTCTCCCTTTAATACTTCAGTCGAAAATGGTATTCTTTATCTCCCACTATTTTTAACCATAATTTAATTTTGCTTTTTATCAGTAAGTGGAATTTTGAGTTGATGTGATTGAACATTCCCATTTTGTTTAGTTTGCCTCTTTCCTCTCCCTTTTTTACTTTCACTTCTGCTTCAGGGTGGGCGAATAACCCCAGATGAAATAGATTTAGAAAACGAACCCTGGTATAAATTCTTTTCAGAACTGGAATTTGGACACCCGGTAAGTGAGGCTAGTGTGATGTGATTTGAGCAGTATTAGTAATCTAGATATTCATAATTGCAGTTCATTGCAAATCAACAGTGTGTATTCACTGTGAAAAGAATGATTGTCATGTTAAAGCCAATCACTAATTTGTAGCACTTTTCAGATAAAGCAGGTTAACAGCCTGTATTTTGTGGACAACAGGTTGTAGATTTGGGGTCAGTTTTTTTTAGGTTGGAATTGTTGCTTCCAGTTGATTTGTCTAGATCCACTGAATAACAGTTTAGAATGGTCAAGGATGAATTTATTAAAGTGTTAAATTGTAGCTCTACCCAGGCTGTTGATGCAAGACACCATATTGAATTTGCTGTTTATCTTAAATACTTTGCACTTCTGCTTTTGTTCTTATTACCACATAGCCTGTTAGCCTGGTATTAATTAGTGGCGCTTTTTCAACCAATTACTGTAACCACAATTAGACTTATTTTCATCATTTAGCCAATTGATAGCTGACATCTGCAAAAAAAAATTGTCAACTGTCAACTTTATTTAGTCCAAGACCTCTCTGTAGAAAGCCATATTATCATGTCCACTTTGCCTCATCATTTTCACTCTGTTGGTATTTCTGTGTTTATATGATGCCAAGTGTTGCATTTGGCACCTGAGCTTTTTAACCATGTCACTTTTTTCATGTGTTGTGTCCCATTTGACTGTCCTCTGCACAACTCTCCACCTCTGCCTGTGTTGCCATCAGCCTCCCAAAAAGCTTTTGGATTATCTGCCGGAAAGTTCTGCCCGTGTTTCGGCTGAGAATATAAAGGTAACTACTGATTCTTTATGCAGTACCGTGCCATCAAATCTTTCATGTCTTCACCCTGATCATGATCACCCTGATCAACGGCATATGTGGATCTTCAATTCATTAAGCAATTGCAATCACGCAATGGTGGAGGGTCCTTTTGTCACTTCTGTCTGGTATGTAGTTGCTGATACATTTTGAGAAATGCTGAGGGCATATGTATTACAATCATCAGTCTGCAATTTTAACTAAAGTGTTAATCTTCTCATGATAATTGAGCACGTGCTGAAGAATGTCATGCAGATCTTTTAACCATCCATAACCATATTATTGCCTATAATCATGGCAACTTGCCTTGTGATTTTGACACGTGATTCCAGCTTCAATTCAGGAATCAAGCATGAAACTGCAGCAATGCAGTGATTAAGTTGCTGCACTGATAGTCTACAGAAGCCTGGATTTTTATAGGACGAACTGACAAATCCAAGAATGTAGAGGCTCTTTGAATATTCATGATAAGATATCATTTAATTAAGTCCATTCAAACTCCTGTCTGGCAGTCGACCCGACTAAATAACAGCCCCCACTAACAGCAGTTAGTGAGTGTGCTGGGGTTGTCGGTGACAGGAAGTGCAGCAAGCCTCTGGTAAGCTTTAGGAAGTAGGAAGTATCCTCTGTGGTTACAAGGCAGAAAGCAGTGGGGGAAAGATCAGTAGAGAGGTGTAGACCTGTGCAGTGGAGGCCCACTTTAAAACTTCCCTTCTGTATCTTTCCTTCTCGGGAATTCAGCTCGCAACAGGATTACCTGACACAAGAAGGATGACCTGATAGTGGAGTCTACTCTGCTTTTGCTTTCAGGCCTCAGGTTGTTAATACTGCAAAAGCTATGGGTCCTGACATCATTCCCCCAACAGTACTGAAGACTTGTGCTGCAGAACTTGCCAAAACCCTGGCCAAGCTGTTCCAGTACCTACATCTACCTGACAATGTGAGAAATTGCTTAGGTAAAATTGCCCTGCACTCAAAAAGCAGAACAAATCCAACTTGGCCAATTAACATCCTATCAATCGATTCAATATCATTAGTAAAGTGATGGAAAGATGCTCAACTGTGCTTTTGAGCAACACTTGCTCAGCTATAACCTGCTTCTCAACACTTAGTTTAGGTTCTACCAGAGTCACTCATCTCCTGACCTCAGTACAGCCTTGTGGACAAAACAGCTGAACTCTAACAAAACTGGAGTCAGTGGGAGTTAGAGGGTAAATTCCGCACTGATTGGAGTCCTATCTAGCACGTAAGAAGATGGTTGTGATTGTTGGAGGTTGGCTATCTCAGCTTCAGGACATCTCTGCAGGAGTTCGTCAGGGTCCAACCATCTTTAACTGTTTCATCAGTGACTTTCCCTCCAACATAAGGTCGAAGGGAGGGATGTTCATCAATGAGTAGACAATGTTCAGTACCATTTGTGACTCCTCAGATACTGAAGCAGTCTATGTTCAAGTGCAGCGACCTGGACAATATCCAGGCTTGAGCTGACAAGTGGCAAGTAACATTCATGTCGCACAAGTGCCAGGCAATTACCATCTCCAACAAGAGAGAATTTAACCATTGCCACTTGACATTTGATAGCATCGGCACCACTAAATTCCCCACTATCAACTTCCTGAGGGTTACCAGTTACCAGAAATTCAACTGAACTCACCAAATAAATACAGTAGATACAACAGCAAGTCAGAGGCTAGTAGTACGAGAGCAAGTTACTCAACATCTAAATCCCCAAAGCATGCCCACAATCCACAAGGCACAAGTTAGGATTATGATAGAATTCTTGCCACTTTCCTGGATGAGTGCTACTCCAACAATACTCAGGAACCGGGATAAAGCAGCATCTTGATTGACACTGCATTCACAAACACTCATTCCCTCCACCACTGATGCACAATAGCAGCAGTGTGTACTATCTGCAAGATGCACTGCAGAAATACACCAAAGATCCTCAGACAGCACCTTCCAAACCCATGACCACTTCCCACTAGAAGGATGAGGGCAGCAGCTACTTGGGAACACAACCACCTGCAAGTTCCCATCCAAGCCACTCACCATCCTGACTTGGAAATATATTGCTGTTCCTTCACTGTCACTGGGTAAAAATCATGGAACACCCTCCTTGAGGACATTATGAGTCACTTACCAGGGCCAACATTATCTAAGAAAAAGGCTACAGAGCAGACCATACTCTATGCTCCATTGAGAGGGAAATGAATAAAATCCAGTAAAAAGAAGGAATAAATAGACCAAATGGGAGTAAATATTCAAAATAAATTGATCAAAGTTTAGCCTTTCCTACAACACTGAATGTTGCTTTTTCCGAAGTTGGAAACTATTGGGTATCACTGAACCGTGAACAAGTTGCGTTAGAAAATAAAACCAAGAATAAACCAGAGATAGTAGGAACTGCAGATGCTGGAGAATCCGAGACAGCAAGGTGCAGAGCTGGATGAACACAGCAGGCCAAGCAGCATCATAGGAGCAGAAAGGCTGACGTTTCGGGCCTAGACCCTTCATCAGAAAAGGGGGAGGAGAAGGGGGTTCCGAAATAAATAGGGAGAGAGTGGGAGGCGGATAGAAGATGGATAGAGGAGAGGATAGGTGGAGAGGAAACAAACAGGTCGAAGAGGCGGGGATGGGGCCAGTAAAGGTGAGTGTAGGTGGGGAGTTAGGGAGGGGATAGGTCAGTCCAGGGAGGACGGACAGGTCAAGGGGGCGGGATGAGGTTAGTTGGTAGGAGATGGGGGTGCGGCTTGAGGTGGGAGGAGGGGATAGGTGGGAGGAAGAACAGGTTAGGGAGGCGGGGACGAGCTGGACTGGTTTTGGGATGCGGTAGCGGGAGGGGAGATTTTGAAGCTTGTGAAAGTTGTTGAGGGTGAGGACGAGTTCTGCTAAGCGGATGAGGGTGTCAGTGGAGGGGGACTGGTCGGGTCTGCAGGACAGGAAGAAGCGGAGGGCCTTTAGGCCATCTGCATGGGGAATGCAGGTGTAGAGGGACTGGGTTGTTGAGGGTGAGGACGAGTTCAGCTAAGCGGATGAGGGTGTCAGTGGAAGGAGACTTCCCTCCCCTCCCCCCCCCCCCTACCGCATCCCAAAACCAGTCCAGCTCGTCCCCGCCTCCCTAACCTGTTCTTCCTCCCACCTATCCCCTCCTCCCACCTCAAGCCGCACCCCCATCTCCTACCAACTAACCTCATCCCGCCCCCTTGACCTGTCCGTCCTCCCTGGACTGACCTATCCCCTCCCTAACTCCCCACCTACACTCACCTTTACTGGCCCTATCCCCGCCTCTTCGACCTGTTTGTTTCCTCTCCACCTATCCTCTCCTCTATCCATCTTCTATCCGCCTCCCCCTCTCTCCCTATTTATTTCAGAACCCCCTTCTCCTCCCCCTTTTCTGATGAAGGGTCTAGGCCTGAAACATCAGCCTTTCTGCTCCTATGATGCTGCTTGGCCTGCTGTGTTCATCCAGCCCTGCACCTTGTTGTCCAAGAATAAACCATACCGCCCATTGAAGTACTCTGCTGTTCAGTTTGATTATGGCTAATAGTCAACTCCAATATCCTACTGATTCTACATACTTATTGACTGCCAGAGGAACCCAAAATCTGTCAATCTCAGTGTCATGACCACCTGATGTTTCCATTATGTGTGGCTTGGCAGAACCACCAAACTGGCCGAGTCCTAAAGGACACAGCCATTTGGCTGGGTCTGCAGCGAGTGGTGAGGGAACCAACAACGGGAAAAATTGTACCTGATCTTACTGTCCCCAGTATGTCCAAGACATTGTTAGGACTGACTACATGCAGTCCTTATAGAGATGAAGCCCTGCCTCCACACTGAGGATGCTACGTGACACTATCACTGTGCTAAATCGGACAGACTTCAAATAGATCTAGCAATTCAAAACTGGGCATCCATGAGGCGCTGTGGGCCATCAACAGCAGCAGAATTGTACTCCAGCAAAATCTGTAACCTCATGGCCCGGCATATGCCCCACTCAACCACTACCATCAAGCCAGGGAATCAATAAAATAAAACAAAGAACTGCGGATGGTGGAAATCTGAAAGAAAAATAGATAATGCTGGAGAAACTCATCAGGTCTGGCAGCATCTGTAGAGAGAAAAATAGAGTTAATGTTCGAGTCCAGTGATCCTTTGTCAGATGAAGAATTTTCTGTTTATGTGGGGATCATGTCTGATTCACTAAACGGTGCAGGAGGACATGCCAGGAGCAGCACCATGCATTACCTGAAGTTGAAGTGTCAACCTGGTGGAGCTACCAAACAGGAGTACTTGCATGGAAAACAGTAGAAACAGGATCTGATAGACAAAGCTAAGCGATTCCACAACCAGTGGATCAGATCTAAATTCTGCAGTCTTGCCACATTGAGTCATAAACTAGTGGTGGACAGATAAACTCACTGGAGGAGGAAGAGGCTCCACATATATCCTATTCTCAATGATGGAAGAGCCCAACATATCAGTGCAAAAGGTAAGGCTGAAGCATTTGCAACAATCAAGTAGATGATCCATCTCAGCATCCCCCAAGGTCCTCATTATCACAGATGCAAGTCTTCAGCCAATCATATCAAGAAACGGCTAAAGTCACTGGATACTGCAAAGGCTGTGGGTCACATCAACATTTCCACAATTGTACTGAAGTCCTGTCTTCCAAAACTTACCATGTCCTCAACCATTGCTACAACACTGGCACCTATCTGACAATGTGAAAAATTGTCTTGGCCACCAAAAGCAGGACAAGTCTAAACTGGCCAATTACCATGCCATCAGTCTACTCTTGATCATCAGTAAAGTGGTGGAAGATGTCATCAACAATGCTATCAAGCAGCACCAGTTTAGTAATAACCTGCTCCGTGACACCCAGTTTGGGTTCTGCCAGGGCCACTCAGCTTTTGATCTCATTACCCTGACCTCTTGAACTCCTGACCTTGGTTCAAACATGGACAAAA